ATTCGTCTTGTTTCTTTATGACTTCAATTTTTTTAAAACAAAAACTGGAATACGCATGAATCCAAATATGACATTCTACAGAGGTATAAACAAAGGCATTAAAATCAAAAATAAGAAAACATAATCGTTGTCCCTGTGCTTTCGTTACAGCAAAATGCCTAAAAATCACATTCTGTAAATTTAATACTTGACTCCAAGTTTGGATGTACATATGTATAATAAGTCCCTGATTTCTTTTCGTCATTTCTCTGCTTTGACATTGCCGTATTGTATAAAACGTAACAAACATACTTGTACAACAAAATGCCATTAAATGCTTTAAAAAAAAGAGGACACAAAGAGAGAACGGTAAGAAGTGAAAATGATAGATACTGACCTTCAAGTGTATGCTATCGAGAAGAAGAAGAGGAAGAAGAAGAAGAAGAAGAGGAAGAAGAAGAAGAAGAAGAAGAAGAAGAAGAAGAAGAAGAAGAAGAAGAAGAAGAAGAAGAAGAAGGACAAGAAGAAGAAGGAGGAGGAGGAGGAGGAGGAGGAGGAGGAGGAGGAGGAGGAGGAGGAGGAGGAGGAGGAGGAGGAGGAAGAGGCTAGCAAAATAAGCCAAAAAGTAAACAAAGAGACTAGTGCTAACTTGTAAAGTCACAAATAAAAACTAACTCATTTGCACCAAAAAGAAAGTTCCCCCCCCCCCCCTCCAAAACAAGTACGAAACCAAAATGGATCAGGACACACAAGCTTTCTTCGCCAGGTCGTCTACACACATGTCCATGCATAATATATATACACACATGTAAAAGGTCTGGTCCATTTTTGGGCCACGATGAACCAGTTGCTTGTAAATATTAACATACTCCGAAGGTCAAATCAGGGGGAAAATAGGCCCCATAAATGTATTGTTCGTTAAAATTATTTCACAGTCACATAGAGCTGATCAGTTTACAGAAATATTTCCTTGTTTCTCTCAGACGAAATGAATATCCTATGAAAGTTAACCCACACCATATCTTTTATCTAGCTGACATCTACAGCATATAGCTGGATGGCATATCACAACTTAAATGTATATGTATAGTATAAGGTTTTACGGCGCTCGCAACTGCTAAGGTCATATGAGCGCGCGAAACACAAGTTGTTCACCTCTGCGAAAGTTCACTTTACGACTGGTAACTAACTTACTTTAAAATGCTAAAAAGTTAAAATATTCAAATTCGGTGTAAATACATTTGTGATCTAAAACAATTTTTAAGTAACAATAAAAATTTTAAATAATATCAAATTCACTCTACAACTCGCCATAAAGGCCAATGGCCTTTATAAAATTTAAAATTCTGCTGGGAACAACGACGGAGAAAATATCCTGCAATTTCTTGCATTTATAATATTTCCTTCGGATCTCTCCAAAGTCTAGACATTCTGTTAAAATGTGTCTAATGGTAAAATCTGTGTCGCATCCGACACAGAACGGCTTCTCCTCTCCCTGTAGGAGGTATTTGTGGGTCAGGGCCGTGTGTCCGATGCGCAATCGAGTAAAAATGACTTCGTCTCTTCTGGAGAGATCCGAAGGATTTCGCTGTTCTAGTCTGGGTTTAATTTCATATAATTTATTATTTTTCTGGTTTTCCCAGTGGCTCTCCCACAGACTGGAGGTGTACTTTTTGACTTTATTTCTAAAGTCAGTCTGTGGGAGAGTGTTTGTCGTTGATCCCAGCAGAAGGGATGAAGCTTTCTTCGCCAGGTCGTCTACCTGCTCGTTTCCTCGGATGCCCACATGGCTGGGTATCCATGCGAACATGATGTTTTTTCCTGTTTCGGATAGTGTATGGATTTTCTGTTGTAGCCTAACTATTTTTGGGTGTAGGAGTGTGTAGTTTGTGAGTGAGGTGATGCAAGACAGAGAGTCAGAAAGGATAAGGAAAGATTTGTTAGGGGAATTTTCTACAGAGTCCAGTGCCATGTCAATGGCAGTGGCCTCCGCAGTGAAAATGGAGGCTTCAGGATGGAGTCTCCTCTGGTGTGTATTGTTGGGAGATAGGGCTGCGGCGCCCACTTCATTGTCTTTTTTGGAGCCATCCGTGAAGATGAGCTCCGCACCGGGGTATTTATCTATTAGTTTTTTGTATTCTGCTTGAAAAGTTTTGGTGTTTGTGCTTTCTTTGTTGTGTGTGGTCAGCTGTAAATCTACTTTTGCCTTGGTGAGGTGCCACGGAGGGAGGTCGGGGAAAAGAATTTGTTGGATGTCTTGTTTGGAAAAGTGTAAGTTTTTGAGGTCCTCAAGGATTCTGAGGCCAAAAGGTTTGATGCAACTTAAATGTATGTTCCTCTGATGGGAGGAAAAAAACTGAAATAAGCGAGGAGCAAAGAAGTTGAACCCATCAGCAGTGCCCTGTAAGTATCCAGTACGGTGGCCACTATTCCACTGAAAATAGAAATAAAGTTACATTTGTGTACATTTTAAGCCCTGTGATGAAGAGGCCAAAGCCTGCTAGAAAATGGTAATTGCAGTGAGTGCAATGAAAGGATTGATGTTCTTCTGCACCCGACCATTGCATCATCTACATTTTGCTATCACAGAATTACTAAGTTTCATCAACTCAGTACCTAGCTCTGTGAATTTTTTTAAAGGGTACTTGTTCATGTATTCTTTCCTATATACCATTTCCAATAAAACATATTGCAAATCAAATTCCACTGGTATAAGGTAAATTTATCTCACTGAAACCTAAAACATACAATGGACTGACTTTTTCCTGACAATACTTTTCAGAGAAGCTCATGCCATACACAGCACTGGGTTCATAAAACCCAAATACAGGAGAGTCTTTCTTCTTTCACATATCGAAAGTAGTACATTACACAATTTCTCAAAGTTAATCTGCAACACTTTAAAGCTTGATTTTGTCAACTGACCGAAATGGATAACCACAATATTGTATTCTTTTTTGTTTGCTTGTCTGAATAAAAAAAAAAGTATCACACCAGTTATTTAGAGCAAGGACAAAATAATACAAATACACAGAAAGAACAGGGGAGAGAAAAGAAGAAGGGTCTACCCATGGCAGCCACCTACTATCCACATAATATTTTATCTTTTATTAAACAATGTGTGGCACATACATGGACAATCCTTGCCCAGCACTGGGATGTATCTTCAGCAGTTCTACACTTATTATTGTAGACCTTGACCTAACCAAGCTTAATTTAACATGGTGATCAAAAGAATAAAAAAGAAGCACTTTGAAGCAATAAAGGTCATTACATGAAAGGAAAAAAACAAGGGAGATTGACAGAACTGATTAAAGGAAAGAAATGAGGTAGATCCTACCAGTAGCACCCTTCAACCACTCACAATTTGAAGGATAAAAAGCGGTTTTGCTTTTACTTGAAAATGTCTTAAAACAAAGGAAAATTTTTGGACAATGAAAAATCTCATTAGGAATATATAAGTACAACAGTGTACATGTACAGGTAAGATAACAAAGTGTCTTCTACAGGTCCCCTTACAGCCTGCATTAGCCAAAAAAATAGCTCTTTCACATGAAAGTTATAAAGCACTAATCAACAGAACCTCTTTATACAGAAGATAGTAACTATACAGTTTTTGGGACCAAAAAAAAAATACAAATGCATAATTTTACAATGTGATATCTGGTTACGAAAAACGAAGCATATATACATGTACCATTAACAAAGAAGAAATTAACTTAGCTACAGAAGAGGTTGGGCTTTGTGAAACAAAGACTATACCCTTTTCGAAGAAGAAAACAGATTTATGAATGAAGCTTACAAAAGATTCTGCACAAGGAATTGCAGCACACTTTAAAAAAGACAAGGTGATAAGACATTCATGCTCAAAATGTTAAGTAATACAATGTATACATGTACCTGAAAGCAAAAGAGCTTTAGAAATCAGAAAATATACTTTGTACATGATATAAACATGTCTGAATATGTACTAATTTAAATTGTATAACTTAAAATTATGCACATATATGTTTAAAATGGGAGGAAAAAAATGTAACATGTGAGAGAAAGAATCAAAATCACACGATTTAAACACAGAAGCTTTTTAAAAAAATTGACATTTTCAGAGAAGCTGGGAGAATATAGTGTGCCCTGAGTTTATCCTGGAACAGTTTTATGGTTTTGGGTTGTTGTTGTTTTTTTTACCACAAAGACTAGTAACAATTTTCATAAATAGAGATTTTTTTTCCAAAACTGTCAGATTTTTCATTTAAAAAACTTAGGAAAAAGGAACAGTTGTTTGATACAAATTTTTAATATAATATACAAAGGAAAAACGCTGTAGACAAATGGCCAAAATCAAAAGCAAGAAGATGTGGTGTCAAGAAATAGTTATGT